AAGAAGCGCATTCCATAGGCAGGGGGGCACTGTCTCTCGTCCCCACCAGGCGCATTTGTGACACTGGTGGGAGCGAGAGCAGGGCCTCCCCAGATGATCTTAAACTGTGAGGTGGGACATAGAGGGAAATGCATTCAGACAAGTAAGCTGGGCAGAACTGTATAGAGCTTTATAAGTCAAAAGCAGCACTTTGAATTGAGTTCAGAAGTGGTCTGGTAGCCAGTGGAGCTGACATAACAAGGTGGTGGTATGCTCCCTGTATGTTGCTCCTGTTAGTAATCTGGCTGCTGCCCATTAAAACATTTGCTACTATTCAAACTTGGCCCTGAAGCACGAAGTACGTACTTCTGAGGTTCTTTTCATTTTAGAAGCATTGATACTGACAAAGTATCTAAAGTTTCTAAACCAATATGTGTGTGTGTTTATTATCAATAAATAAATACAGCAGACATGCAAAGTTTTCAACATGAACTGGAACGTACAGTTCTTGCTAATGCAAGATTAACTATTTTAACATCTATAACCAGTGCAAATCTTCAACTTTAAATATAATCTCAGAATTTGTGTTGTTTTAGTTTCTACTGTTTTTATAGTCACTGATTTTGACAATGTTTCTACACCTTGGACATTGCCTTTTATGCTAGGCCTGTATGGATTCACAGCCTGAAAATGTATGGATGCATAGCACGAAAAAGAAATGGTAGCATAAGCTTTTGCAGACATCCTCAGATGCATGCAAAACATAGGAACAGACCTTAATGGGCTGGCTGTATGTATGGCTGAGAAGTAGAAAGGAGATGCTGTAAACTGCCCAAGAGAACCAAGACCCCAACCTCAAGAGGGCTCTCTTGGCCATGATTCCTTGGACACAGATCCAAAATAACATGTCTTTGAATTTCTTCAGTCTAGCATGGTTAATACTTTGAATGCTACAGCAAGAGTCAGAATAGGTATGAATGAAACATAGATGGTGATAATTTTAAAAGACAATTAAACTAATGTTAAAACACTAAATGTACAACACATTCATTAAAAGATACAACATCTATCATTTGAAAATCCTATTTTTAATCAGCAAGTCAATTGTCCAAATGTGTGCCTAAATTAAAAAGGTCTTTGCCCACCATGAGAAGGAGGAGAAAAGAAGGATCCAGCCTTTCCTCCTGAAGAAAGAGAATCCACAATTTAAGAGCAGTCATCAAGAAGGGAACCACCTTTTCCTCTTCTGCCATCTTCTCCAGCACCACCTCTTCACCTCCCTCCATCATCTTCACTGCTCTAGAGTCTCACTTCTTCAAAACAGCCCTGGACTTGACTAGCAGCCTTGCCATGGAGGCCTTGATGTCGTGGTTCCTCAGGCTGTAGATGAAGGGGTTAAGTGTCGGGGTGAGCACTGCATACAGGAGAGAGAGGAAAATTCCTTTGTGGGCTGAGTAAGCAGAGGTAGGCTGGAAATAGAGGCAGCTGATAGTGCCGTAGAACAAGACTACAACAACCAGGTGAGGGCCACAAGTTGAGAAGGCCTTACGCTGACCACCAGCCATTGGGACTTTCATGACAGCATGGAATATGCACACATAGGAGATAACAATGAGGGCAAAAGGTCCCAGAATATCCACCATGCCTTCTGTCAGTGCCAGGACCTTTATGAGCCTTGTGTCAGAACAGGAAATATCAAGGAGGGGATAGACATCACAGAAGAGGTAGGGAATCTCCCAAGAGGTGCAGAAAGAAAGCCGTGAGATCAGAAGTGTGTAGAGCAAGGAGTGAAGAGAAGAGAAGATCCAAGAGCCAGACACCAGGAAGACGCAGACCTGGTGACTCATCACTGTGGTATAGTGTAATGGATGGCAAATGGCCACATAGCGGTCATATGCCATGCAAGCCAGGAGGAAATTATCAGTATTGCCAAAAGTCAAAAAGAAATACATCTGAGTCAAACATCCTCTGTAGGAGATGGTCCCTGTCTTGGACATCAAATTTGACAGTATCTTGGGCACAGTGGTGGAAACAAAGAAGGTGTCGACTAGGGAGAGATGGCTGAGGAAGAAGTACATTGGGGTATGGAGAAGGTGGTCATCAAAATGGATGAGTGCAATAATCAGAAGATTTCCCAGAAGGCACAACATGTAGACCATGAGAAAAACTAGGAAAAAGAGACCTTGGTGTTCAAACTGGCTGGAGAGGCTTAAGAGGACAAAGTCAAAGTGGTTTGTTTGGTTCATCTAGACCATTTTTTACCTATAAGAGAGAGAAATATATATATATGGAAATGCAATCTACCTGTGAGGGAAGCTTCTCATTTATCCACTAGAGGAGGGCAAAAAAAAAAACTAGGTGAAAAGGGTTAGTTTATTTCCCATGATGGTCCCAGGAGTCATTTCAGACTCCACAATCACAATGTGATTACTCCTTTTTAACCACTAAGGCAAAGTTCAATAGAATCTGGAGATTTTCAGTTTAAGGAAGGTTTTTTAGGCTCTCAGGCAGGGTGCACCTCCTGGCAAAACTACAAGCCTAGAATGTCATAGTAGACAGACCTCCTCCTCCTCCTCCTCCTCCTTCCCCTGCTTTATCTCTCCCAACAGGGACTCAAAGTGGCTTACAATTAAAATTTATGCAAACATGAAATGAGGCTTAAACATAACAGTATTAAAAATCACTTTTTAAAGTCATTAAAATATATACAAAGCTATTATGGCAGTCGAGATGGATTAATAGTGGTTGCACAAAAGGGCCACTGGTCCATTATTGGGTTTATTTCTTAGCAGTGGTTCCCATTTTTAGCATTGTTTTGTGCTGAAGGTGGCAGTTGAACGAAGATGTATATGCACACACAGAGAGATAAAACTATAATATAGCTTCTTTTATGCTTCTCTGCAGCAACCCCCTGCTAAATAAACCAGAATAACCCGCAATATCAGCTTTGAACTGGGTTATCAGAGTCCACACTGCCATATATTCACTCTCTCTTTGCCTGATCCTATAGGCAAAAGTCAACAGTAGGCATTAGTGTGGGATGGTTCTCTAGATATTCTTGCTTTATAAGAACCATCAACTCAATCCCTGGAATCGGCATATGTATCTATGTGTGACATATGACAAAATCAGGGCTTCCACCTGCATTTATGGAAACAGCACATGTAATTAATCCCCATTACATCAAGTAGTTGGAACTCACTAGACCAGGAGGTGCTTTCCCTTCTGCACAGCTACATCCACTGTCAAAACTGGATTTATTTTTTGGAAATATTTTCAATTCAATCTGAATTTTAATTAACTTGTAAACTGCTTCAGGGAGATTCTCCTTCCTTTAAGTTCCATGAGATCTACACTATTGGATAGAGAACAGAAGCATTACCAACTTTACCAAGTTGATAATTTCAAGACACAAGGAATTGCTTCCATATTGGCAATTCCATCAGTGCCCATTCTACTTAATGAAGAAGAATTTCGGAATATTATGGAATCATCAGTGATGGCACTACCAGCTTTGCTATGTAGCCTTTGAAATAATGTAAAACATCAGCTGAGCATTTAGAAATAGAGTTTAAGCAAAGGGAAAAGTTCATGGGGAGCAAAATTCTTATTTGGTGAGGCACTGCTCTGCTTTTCAAGGGACATGCATCTTGTAGCTCATCAAGAAACAAAAAAGCCTCTTAAACTATTTGTCCATATAGATATGCAATAGGAAAGACAGTTTGATAAACATATATATGAAAGATAAAACACATTTTCTTTCTATAGAATCATAGATATGAAAGGTATTCCAGAGGTCATCTGGGTCAATCCTCCACAATAGCACAATTGTCAATCCTGCCAATGCAACTTTTAAAAGTGCAAACCTAAGTTCTGTTTGAAAGACTCCAAACACCATCTTATCAAAAAGTTTGTTAAAATTTCAAAACAGATCTTACCATCAAAAAGTTCTTCCTAATTATTATTTGGAATCTCCAATTTTGCCATTTGAATCCAGTGGTTTGCAATCATCGCCTTCAACATAGTAGGAAAAAAATTGCTTCATCTGCCTCATAACATCTTTTCAAATATATAAAGATGGCTATCAAGTCACCTCCCTCTTTTCCCTTCCACTGGCTAAGCAGATCCATCACTTTGAAATGGTTGTGAGATATCTAAGAAGCCAAGAAGTCCCTTTAACTGTTGGAAGTTCACCAGGGATGGCGCAACCACACATAATTGTTGGCACCAAGATGAAATTGCAAATTTGCATTTGGCTGGGGGATAGACCTCTGGGGCAAAGCTGGTAGTAGAGATAGCCCCAGAAGATCTTGTTAGCTGAAGCTCTATTCTGTCATTGCAAGCCACATGCCTTGGTAGATGGTCCATCTGGATCAGCTTGAGGCCCAGAGGTAAGAAGAAGCAAAGACATGAAATGTAACTCTTTGAGGATAATCCAAAAGTTAGAATCCTAGAATCGCCAAGTTGGATGGGATGAACTGCAATTTCAGTGGAATAGATGAGATGGTAATAGTACACCTTTCAACATTTCAGAGATGAAAATGGGGTCGCATGGGGTCACGTTCTTATGCACAGTCTTTCTAGCTCTTAACAGGAAGAGCTAGAATTTCAATGGAAGAGATGGGATGGCAAAGTGTTAGCATATCCACCAACATTTTACAGATGAAAACCAGGAACACATGTGGCCAAGGAACCCAAAAGTATGGCCAGGATGACAAAAGCTATTAATGAGAAAGGACCCATGAGATAGGAGAGGCCACAGCTGTTGGCTTTTGTATGAGACACTTGAGAAGGGCAAAGTTTTGCTCCTTCTCTCACACACCAAACTAAAACTCCAATGACTGCATAGCATTGAGCCATGACTGCTAAAATGATGTTAAAGTGAAATCATTCTATAGTGAAGAAGTACTCTAAAATGTATTAAGCAATTAAACAAGTACACAGATTTGGATATAACGATTTAGACTCAAATAGCTTAAATGAATAGCCATTTAAAAATGGTGGCAGAATGAAGCCATCATAGGTACCAATATAGCATCCAAGCAGAGGTCCTTCCATAACCTAGGGACTCCATCAAAGAAGACTCCACTCCACATCCTCCCATAATGTACTGCTCCCACTGATGGGACATATTAGGGCTTCTTCACCCATTTCAGGCTTTAATACCATCACCAGCATCTTGAATTCAGACTAGAAATACTGTATATTGGTAGCCAATTCAATTCCTTTAAATATGGTGATTTATGATTAATACATTATATTGTATTCAGCCATCTAGTTGCTATAATTTATACTAGCTGAGGCTTCTGAGGGCCCTTCCACACAACCATATTACCCAGAATATCAAGGCAGAAAGCCCACAATATCTGCTTTGAACTGGAATATATGATAATGTGGCCTCAGATAACCCCGTTCAATGCCAATATTGTGGGATTGTCTGCCTCGATATTCTGGATTCTATGGCTGCGTAGAAAGGCCCTTGAGTCATCTTCAAGAGTAGCTCCATATGGAGTGTGTTGCATAGTCTAAGCAGCAAGTGAATGAATTACTATAGTCAGGTTAGGAAATAGCCATGAAAAGCCATAGCAGACATAGCAATTTATAATGGCTCCAAGGACACCAAGCCACAAGGTCCTTTTGGATCTCCATTGACAAAGATGGGTCCAGAAGTGTTCCCAAGCTGCACTTTTCATTTCTCAGAAACCAAGATAGATCATTATCCAGCTCTTGGAACCAAAAGCCCCCAAGGATTTTAATTTGGCTGAAAATAAATGTCTACTATTAATGGCAGCTTGTGAGTTGCTTTCTATACTATGTTCCAACAGCAGTCTAGCTGCTTCACTTGGAACTAGTTATGGCTTTGAAATCATTTTCAAGGGAAATCCTAGGTACATAATATTGCAGTAATAAAATCAGGAGGTTATCAGTGCATTGACCACTGCTTTGCAATTGAGGTTAGGGATTGTCCCAGAAAGGTCAATTCCACTTACATGGTCACTTCAATGTCATGACTCATCCAGACTGATGGAAAGACCAGAATGCCCTAGATTTTATTCCTGTTCTTTGCTAAAATACAGAAGGAAATGTGTGAAAATTAAGTCAACTATATGTCACAGATTTATTTATTTATATTTATTTTCTTTTTATACCACGTTGACTCAAGGCAGCTAACAATAATGTGACACAACACAATAGAATTTAAAAATAAGGCTAATACAGATACATATGAATACAAAAAGCAATTAAATATTAGTGCCACGGATACAACAGTTAGCATAAATCAATCAATCAATCAGTTACATATGGGTTGGCAGTCAATGGAGATATTGCATCAGGGGAGTTGTACACTCACTGTAGCTAGCCCGGCTAGTTAGCAACCTGACTGCTGTTGTTTGGCCCAACTGAAGTTTCTGAGCATTTTTTCAAAGGCAGTCCCACGTAGAAGGCATTACATTCGTCCAACAGGGATGTAACCAAGGCATGTGCCATTGTGGCCAGATCTGACTTCTCTGGGAACAGGCACAGTTGGCACACTCTCTTTAATTGTGCAATAGCACTCCTGGTCACTGCTAATACTTGGGCCTCCAGTTTCAGAGCTGAATCCAGAAGTATCCCTTTATTTTCAGGGGTACTGTGACCTGATCTAACACAGGCTGAATCCCTTTTCCCTGTTCTGTCTTTCAACTGACCAGAGGTACCTCTGTATTGTCTGGAATAAGGTTCAGTTTGTAAGGTCTTCTGTTGTTTAAATAATAGGTAATGCCTTCTGAGTATTATAAGAGATGGCTAGACTCCTGTTTTTTTCCAATGCCAGAATACTATTCTCTTAATCTAAACAGTAACTGTTTTCTCACATAAAAAAACAACAATATCATCCCCATTTCAACTGTTCCCCAAATAGGTCCAGAAATAAATAATGCTCTATGGAAGAAGAGAAAGTAAAGATTCCATAATAAATATTTATTATTTCAATGTATTGTATTTTAAACTGGAGGATAAGAGTTAGTAGTAGTAGTAGTAGTTATTATTGTTATTATTGTTATTATTATTATTATTATTATTTACTGTATTTATATTCCGCCCTTCTCACCAAGGGGACTAAGAGCGGATTACAGCATATAAACAGACACATACAAACATTCAATGCCTTGTTACAATAAAAATACAATGAGACAAAAATACACAGAATAAGGCAAAGGCTTCTGCTTTGATTGCCAGCTCTGGAGGAGGTGCTCATCTCAATTTCCAAGCAGAGGAGTCTGCATTGTCCATAGACACCTCCTGGTTGCGTGGCTCCTAAACACTCTTCAACATCAGCCAGCTGACCCGTATGAACATTAAAAAACACACACAATATAAGAACACATCTTGTGACAAGTTTGTAATTTATTGGGTACAATTTTGTGTCTGTTCCATATTCCAGAGCAGTTCTGAGAGACTGACAACTTTAACTGCATTTGACTGCATTATATGGATCTTTGCTGTTCATACAATGCATATCCGAAGTGCATTAAATGGCAGTGTAAATCCAGCCACTTACTACGACTACAGTTGTCCATCCACATTTACAATTTTGACTTTTGTAGATTTGATCATTCATGGATTTTATTATAATGTTCTCTTTAGGGATTGCTGCCTTCACCAGTGTAACTCTACGGTCACTTCCTCTGGACATCCTGGAAGACTTACGACCTCATCACATTGAGCTCGCAAAGCATGGGGGACCATCCTCGTAGTGTGAGGAATCATCCCTCTCGATCACCCAGCATCCTGTTTTGAGTGCTGTCTCCCCATCACACATGTCTCCCTCTTCAGCTGTTCACTCGTTATTGCCCGTCATCAGCACCATAACACGGAGAAACTTTTTCAGTTGTTAGTCCATTGTTGTCCACGTTCATTTCATCAAAATCAAAAGCCATTAATTAAATACTATTACTAAGAAATGCAGAAATGGGAGAGCAGCACTTTTTTGGGCTGTAGGTGTTCCTCTATTGTGCTGTATCTATTAGTTTAATTTTTGAGTTTAAAAAACATATTGCATTAATAGACAGAAGGGAAATATTGCTGCCTTACAGAAGATTGCCCATCAGAATACCAATCAAAAGAGTAGTGTGCTATGAAATGGGATGGGCAATGAAATAAGAGGAGAAACTTTGTTCCTATGCCACATGCTTTTCAGCTAGAGCTATGGTTGCAACGTGCAGTCAGAGCTCTAAACACAATTACTCACCTATGTTCAGAGCTCCTTTCGGGACACCTCAGCCTCTTTTCAACCACTGAGGGCTTCACATGATTGCCGGAAGTAGTTTAACGTCATGTGATGAGCTCCATGCCTCTCCATGCTTGAAAAGAAGCTGAAGTGTCCTAGAATTAGGAAATTTCTCAATGTGATGAGTCCTTTGAGAGTACCAGAGAAAACATATTTCAAGGAATCTGTAGGTCCTCTACTGCAATTCTATGGTCATCTTCCAGCAGAAGTCAATTATAGTGTTGTGCTGAAAGACCTAGAAATTCCTAGAGTGATGTTCTCTCAAATTAAAAATTAGCAATTTATTTCTAAACTGGCCCAAGACTTATGAAAAAACCTCTATTCTTTCATGCATCTCCTCTTCTGAAGTAGCCTTTTCATGGCCGCATGAATCTCACTGTTCCTGAGGCTATAGATATACGGGTTCAGCATAGGAGTAACAACTGTGTAGAGTATTGATGCCACTCTCAATCTAGAGCCAGAATAGGTGGATGATGGCCGGATGTAGGTGCCTATCAGAGTCCCATAGAACAAGGCCACTGTAGTGAGATGGGCACTGCAAGTAGAGAAGGCCTTATACTTCCCAGAAGCTGAGGGGACCTTCAAAACTTTCAATACAATGAACATATAGGAAAGGAGAATAAGCAGCAGTGGTCCAAGAAGTGCTGTTGTGCCTTCACTTACAAGCATCATTTCAACAGAGGAGGTGTCTGAGCATGACAGCCTGATCAAAGGATGGAGGTCACAGAAGAAATGGGGGATTGCTCGGGAAATGCAGAAGGAAAAATCAGACACCAAAAGCACATACAAGAGAGAATGTACATGAGCCAAGAACCAAGATCCCGTGGCCAGAAGCAGACAACGCTTGTAGCTCATGTGTGTGCTGTAACGGAGTGGGTAGCAAATGGCTACGTAGCGGTCAAATGCCATTGAGGCTAAGAGGAAGTTATCTGTTGTGCAGAAGAGCACAAAGAAATACATCTGAGCCAGGCAGCCACTATAGGATATGGTGTTTGTCTGGGACACCAGGATATGTAGCATTTTGGGCACTGTGGTGGAGCTGAATCCTAAGTCAGCCAAGGACAGGTGGCTTAGGAAAAAGTACATGGGAGCATGGAAGAGGCTTCTGTTGGAGACGATCAGCAAAAAGATCAAGAGGTTTCCAAGGAGGCTGAGCAAGTACATAGAAAGGAAAATGGGGAAGAGAAATCCCTGGAACTCTGGAGAGGTGGAAAGACCCAAAAGGATGAATCCAGTGAAGTGAGTTTGATTGTCTTGCTCTCTCTTTCTATGGCTCAGCTGAGGATCTGAATGATATGAAAACATTCTTTTTCACAGCTCAGTCTTGCCTTTCATCTAAATACAAAAAGCATAAGTCAGTTGGAGATGAAGAATTAAAACTTGGGAACATAACAGCAGTTGTTAAGTGCTTTTGCATTTCTTGGAAGAGCCCAAATAATTTGTATTCCACCAAGAAACATAATAATCTATATGTTGTCGAAGGCTTTCCGGCCACAATCACTGGGTTGCTGTAAGTTTTTTTGGGCTGCATGGCCATGTTCCAGAAACATTCTGGAACATGGCCATACAACCCCAAAAACTTACAGCAACCTATAATAATCTATACTTGAGTTAAAATCAAGAGTTGCAAAGCTTTGCTCCCTAAAAAAGATATAACGTGAAGGTTCACATTAGGCATCAGGAATCTTATTTCTTCTCCTTCAAGGGCCAGTGAGGATGGGGTCAAGAATCAAGAGGGATGCCTGAATCTCTGTACACATTAATAATTTGGGGTATACCTGCATAGTAGAAATCCACTTCATGTTGAAGACGAACTTGTGCAAATCTCCAAACAGAGGAGGTTCAGGGCCTGCCTATCTTCGTGACCGCAAGACACCAGCCCTTTTCAATGTCTTGCAGATTAAAAAGTGGTAACAACATATTGCCAACTTCACCTTCTCCCCAGTATACTTTATAAAAACTTTCTCCAGTTCTTTCCATCCTAAATTTACATTCTTATCATAAAAGAAATTAACTAAACTTCTCTCCTAATGGAGAGGACAGTTATGAGAGACAAAACAACTAGACACACAGCTTCTTCCCTTGCATAGCAGCTCTTGGCTTCCTAGTCCAATGTGATCCCCATATCAGTGGAAGCAATACTTTCTCAGCATTTTCTAGAACCTCCAGTATGATTCTATGATATGCTTCCACCAAAATTCATTCATTTCAATAGGGTGTGCTATTATCCGCAAGTCCAGGAATGTTACTGTACTACCTCTACTAGACCTACTTGAAGAATTGAGTTCAACGGCCATGAATAGTTCCTTTAACATTCAGATTAATACTTGGAGCAGTCCACTTCTTTATAGACCCGGAAGCCGGTGACTCTCTCCATGGCAATCTCTTTTTAGGGATTCTGATGGCACCAGCTGAAGCTGCTTCTGCTTGGAACAAAAACATGTAGGAAAGGAAGACTCAAGACAACATACAGACCTGAAATACAAAGAATGGCAAGCATGAAAGATGAAATGCTTGAGAAAAGCACCCTTGATTCAAAAGATAAAGCTGAAAATGACATACTGTACCTCCAAGTAGGGCAGCAATGCTCCGATGTCAGCTCTGAGCACAGGCTCCTGTGCTGGGCCTGATTACACTATGTAACACAGTTTTTGTTCCTGGGTTATAAATGTTGTTTCCTAATTGGTTCGTGGAAAAAGTTTATTAAACTGCAAAAGCTTTGTTCTGTAGGACATCATGCAGCACATTTTGCTATAGTTGTTCAATGAATATCTCCTAGACTCTCAACCAATTCTACATAGTTTGTGACAACCACAAAAACAAAGTTTCTGGAGTATAACAACTACTTTCAAAGAAGAAGAGTGCTGAACTAAAGTCTTCCAGATGGCAATGGAGGAGAGTTTTGTTGCAATGTTATGGAGAGAGCTTCAGTGATGTAAACTGTGGCTTCTCAAGGGGGGACATCCCAGAAAACAGTGGCTCTGTGGGGAACTTGTTAATTAAAGATGGATGCCATTTTGGAGGACTTGTGCCATGAAGGCCCCAAACAATTATCCAACCCGCAGGAGGGTTTCCCAAGTCAACATCTTGAGTTATTTGGAGAAAATAATTGAACCAAAGAGCAAATGTTTTCTTTTGGGCTATCCAGAAGATCACATCAATGTAAAAATAAGGTTTAACTATTTTTTTAATTGAAAGACCACACTGTCAAGTTAAGACAACCCAAGCTTGAAAGAAAATAGCAAATCTAAGTTGATCCATAATTTCACATTTACCTAGTCAGAAAACAAATTTTAAAATTCAAACCAATGTTCTGACTATGAAATACATTCTGCCCTTCACATTCACAGGTTTAACTTTTGCAACTTTGATTATTTATGGATTTAATTAAAACATTCTCTTTGGAAGTCTTTAAGTCCTCCAAGTGCAAATCTATGTTCAACTTCTGTTGGGAGGACATAGACATTCCTAGATTTTAAAAAATATTCACTGGTGTTCACTTTTATGGTGATCCTGTGTCCCTAGCACCAGCATGTGTGGAGGGCTGAATATATATACTATAGACTTTGAGGGTATTAATAGTCAGAGCATGTTAAAAATTATATTGTCAAACAGCACAGAAGGGAATGAAATCATAGAATGCTATTTAAAGGGTATTAAACACTGATTTGCCAAAACTCTCACCCAGAACCTGGAAAATTGACAGTGTTTGATATATAGTTCCCAAAATCCCCCAACCATTCATTGGCTGGTAAATTCTAGGTACAATAGATGCCAAAAGTAGCTTTCCTGACACACACACTTACCCTGAGCAGTAACTAAAATGCTAATCTCTCGAAGTGCTGACTGTAAACTGCCTTGAGTCGCTTTCGGGCTGAGAAAGGCGGTATATAAATACGGTAAATAAATAATAATAAAGTGACCAGCCAGTTTAGAAGGACCCCTGTCACCTGTTTTATAGGTGCACAAGCCAAACTTGGAAGCCTTTAAACCCCAAAACTGTGACCTTAGTGGATAGAAACCTTTTAGATTTGATTCCTCTGAGGATTGTCCCACACAAAAACCCAAAAGCTTTCATTTCATGATACCCTCTCAGTTGTTCAAATGGGATGTTCATAAGTAGGGGTAAGTTCTAAAACCACACGATTCTTTCCTTTTAGTGGAAAGGTGATCATAAAAGGTTTTTTCTGTTGAATTCCACTTCTGGACTCTGTAGGAATAAGTCACAAACTGAGAGCTGTCCAGGGTCCTG